TCACATCCAAGATCTTCTCTGATCAGAGTGGTATCACACTAGAAAACAATCACAAAAAGAAAGTGGGAAAAGCCTCTAATATGTGGAGACTCAAACATACTACTGAATTGGATTAACGAGGAAATTATAGGAGAAAACCTGAACAGACCAATTATAAGCAAAGAAATTGAAACAGTAATCCAAAGGCCCAGGACCAGATGGCTTTTCTAGTGAGTTCTACCAAACTTTAAGGATGTACCCATTTTGCTGGACCAAGATTCCATTTCATATAATAGTTCTCCAGTTAGACAGCTAGAAACAATAACATTTAAGGATAAAATCTTTAAAGTTCAAAGAATAGAAAAGATAGCATAAAACTAAAAATTAAAATTGTAACTAGATATATTGTGGTGATCATTTCTCAATATATACAAATATCAAATCACTATGTTGGACACCTAAAACTAGTATAATGTTACATGACAATTCTACTTCAATAAAGAGAAATTAAATACATTTCCCCATATATGCATGTGTTAATTTAAAAAAATTATAATTTAAAATAATTTTTAAAATAATACTTTTGTGCTTAATGTCATTTTTATTTTTAAATGTGGTAAAAATTGCATGTGGTAAAAATTTATAATCTTTTAAATGTTTATGTTCTTTGTTTCTTTTTTATAAAAAATATTTTATTTTTATTTATTTATGCATACAAGAATGGGGGTTCAGGCCAAAGGTGCAGGGGTGATAGTATTCACCAGAGCAGAACAGGCAGATCTACTGAACTATACTGCTGAGAGGAGCAGGCAGGGAGACAGGAGAGGTCTGCTGTGCCATGTGGATCAGCTCCCTGGCTGGGGATTGAACACATGCAGCAGTGGCTGCCAATAGCTTGATAGTGCTGAGACTTAAACCCCTGAGCCAGCAGAGAGTCCTTCTACTGTTCTTAATCTAGTTGGAAGTTTATCTTGCAAGGGTTGATAGAAGAGGGGACAATATAATATTGAATAATGTTGTTATAACATTAATAATATTGAATGAACCTAGTAACATTAAATTAATATGCAGTGGCAACAGAAAGGGAAAAGAAAAAACTTATTTATTTATTTACTTATTTATTTTAAAGATTTATTCATTTATACAAGAACTGGTGTACAGTCAGAGGCACGGGAAGGTGAGAGAATTCACAGAGACAGAGCAGAGAGCAGAACAGGCAGACTAATCGAAGACACTGCTGAGGGGAACAGCGGGCAACACAGGAGAGGTCTGCTGTGCCATGTGAATCTCCCTGGCTGGCCGGGAATTGAACCCACGCTGCAGAGGCCGCGGACAGCTTCACAGTGCAGTGCTCAACCCGCTGCGCCAACAGGGAGGCCCGGAAAAGAAATTTATATGGTTGACAGACTCTACTAAATAAGGGTAATGGTAGAAGAAGCCTTTGGGACTTTTTGACCCTATAGTGGCTAATGACTTCAGTATTTCCATTTCCATTAAGATCTTATGCTTGATTTAAATTTAATTAAAGAAAACTTGATTTATATTTTAACAGAGTAATTCCTTAAACCTCTGGCCTGTACCCCAGTTCTTGTATGCATAAATAAATCTTTAAAAAAAAAAAAGGAATATATGCACAATGACCACAAAGGAATACAGTGAGTAGTTAGAGTCTGGCACTTTGAGACCCTCAGCTTCCCATAAGCAAGTGCTGGAAGTTTTTTTTTTTGTTTTTTTTTTTTTGGGGGGGGGTTTGGTAGCCTAAGAACTTTTACCTTTTTATTCTTGACTCTAAATATTTTGGCCATAAGCAGATTTCCCTCTGATTGTTTTCATAAAGGATATAAATCAAATCATTGGTCATGGTGACCCTGTTATGTGATATTTATGCACACGTTATTTTCTGTTTCATAAGAACAGGTGATGGAGACAATAAAAATTAAGTTGGGAAAAATGTTTTGTGTTGAATAACAGTCCATTTTTTATGTGCACTATATCCTGCATGAGTGAGTGTAAGCATTTTGGAAAGAAGGTCTTTTTAAAAAAATTTTTTGAAGCAAATTGATACTCAAATATTTTCCAAGGTCCTTGTCCAGCTTGAAGCACTGCATTTTTGGACCTATTTTTGGTTAACAGCACACATGCAAAGGCCAAACCTGGTTGTGTACCCCATAAATGTTTATAGAGCTTTTTGTGTCATACCACTTTACTGAAAATTATAAAATTCTTAAGAAGAATTAAACCTGGAAGGATTTGTAAGTCCTTATAATCAGTAAAATCAGTACTACTAAGTGTTAGGATAGTCCTCGGACTTCTTCCTTGGCTCCAAATACAATCTACATCATGATGACTCTGAAATGTATTCATCTATCTTCAAACTTTCCAAAATCTCAATTATATATTGAACTATGACAGCATCTTCAGTTAGATGTCTGATGCTAACATCTAAAACTAAAACACTAAAACACATCTAAAAACTAACAAATCCAAAAATGACTTAATTCCTTGCCCCCAAAATTCCTCTCCCAATTTTCCCCATTTCAATTCATGGCAACTTATTCATCTGGATGTTTAAGTCACAAACCTTAAGGTCAACCTGGACTCCTTTTTCCTCTTATCAAAAAGTTGAACTGGAAACAAAACCTAGCCTTCAAAAGATCTCATATTTGATCACTTTTCACCACTTGCATTGTGCCCTGCCCCGTCTCCCATTTGGTTTGTTACAATAGCTTAACTGGTTTTGCTGTGTCACCTTTGATATGAAAGTCAGTTCTCACACATGAATGCCAGTCATAACCGCTGTTCAGAACCTCCAAGTCCTTGTATTTATATCAGATGACTTATATGGTGCAAGGTGATCTGCTCTCCCTAAAACCTTATGTACCTGCTCTTTTCTGTGTGTGGAAAGTTCTCCTGCAGACACCTACATGGATTGCTGCCTCCCTTCTTTGAAATCTCTGCTCAAATGTTACTGCTATAGAGCTCTCTTTGAACTTTCTATATAAAATGACAAATTCTCTTCACCATCCTTCTTTATCCCCCACATGCTGCTTGATTTTTAACAGGGTACTACCACTGACATGATTTTAAGTCTTTTTTTGGTCTGTCTCCCCTTTCTAGGATGTAAGGTAACTAAGACCAAAGCAGGGTCTTTGTTCTGGTCACTCATATTTCTGTGCACAGCATGTGGAGTTTAAATCACTCATTCTGATAGACCAGCAGCACTGGTCTTGGGTTCCCTAGCCAGTTATACTTGTGGGCCTAATAAGTCATTGTGGCACCAGACTCATTCAGCTTTGTGGGGCACATGTAGAAGATGGGGGGACAGCAGCAAGAGTGTCATCAGCAGGAATTCCTGCAGCAGTCCAAGAACCTCTTCTCTAGCCCTTCAAGCACAAGTTTAGGGAAAGAGACCACTTTGGTATGTATAGGTATTGCCCTTACTTAGAAGGTCCACACCCCCTAATATTTGTTGCATTTGTTCCAGGAGAGTATCTTCTCATAAACTACAGGATACAAGAGCAATAACCTCAGGGAAGCCCCAGAGCCATGACCTCTCACCTGACATTTATGGTTCACATCTGTCCTAATGTTTCTGATCAGGTATAATTTTTGCAAATAATATTGACTGGTAACATAGATAAGATTTCACCTTTCCAGTAGAATAGTGCAGTGCCTAGGAATTTGGTTGCTCCATAACCTTGTCAATAATTGCTAATTTCATCCCCCCACATATATATAATTCTAGTAGATGAACTTCACTGAATTTTTAATAAAGTATTGACATGTAATTTCCTGATGTTTAATCAATTTAAGCACATATTTTATATGCTGATCGGCCATTTGGATATCCTTAGTCACGAGTTATATGCTCATACAATTTTTTTCTTCATTTTATTTTGGTGTTTCTTAACTTTTTCAAGCATACTGATTTAGAAGTTCTGAATATAAATCTTTTGTTATATACATGTACTGCAAATATCACATTCTACTTGCATAAGCTTTAATATGTCAATTTCAGAAAATCTATTCCTCTCGTGCTATAACATTAATCTATTGTTAAAAAGCATATTACTTAACAGCTGTTAGTAAAACTGATATTGTAGTGCAAAAAAAGCAATTAACAGTATGTAATCAAATGAATGTGGCTAGATCTGGCCCCTAGATGTAGTCAAGAGATCGAGGCAATAAAGGGAGTAAGATGAGTAAGATACAGATATAATCTCACATACTTCAGCATTACATTAACTGTAAATGGCACAACTGTTCCAATGAAATTCTCTATTCTAGGCAAAACACACCACAATTAAGACTGATTGTATCACAAAGGAACTAACAAGTAATAACCTTTACATGTAAGAAGCAGAAAAACTGGAAGCAAAAGGATGGAAAATCAATCATACAAACCCCAATAAAAACAGAGTTTGCAGAGATATACTAATAACAACATAGACTTTAAGGAGAAAACTATTATTAAAAATAAGCGCATTTCAAATGAGGAAAGCACAAACACCAGGAGGCATATCATTCCTAAATTTGTATTCACTGTCTCCAAACACGTAAAACAAAACTGACATATGAAAAAAATATGCAGACAAAACCAAGATCATAGAGTGGGACAAACCAGTCTAAGCAACAGAGAAAATAATCAGCAGACGTACAGAAATGTAGAATAACACTATTAATTTTACCCTGTGTGTGTGTGTGTGTGTGTGTGTAAAACACACTGCTGGAACACAGCACTCAACATTCCTATTATACAAATTCTATTTTAGTTCACATAGAACTCCCAGCAAAATGATATCTATATCTGGTCTGCAAAGGAAGTCACAACAATGTTTCAAGCATTACATCACAGTTTCTTCTGATCACGGTGCAACTGAGTTATAAATGAGTAACACAAATACAAGGAGAAAACCCCTAAATAATTAGAAAATGTCATGTATTTTTATTCTTCTTTTTTTTTGGGGGGGACCTTTTCTCATCACCCTTATTTAAGAATTTGTGGAAGCACAGCCTCCTACCTGCCACCTGCGGAAGCCTCGTCCTCAGCCCTGAGGGAGGCGCTGACACGCGGCCGCCGCCATCTGCCTCCCGCCTTCACACCGAACTCGGTTTTCGCAGCAGTGAAGCCAGGAGCTGCCACGTCATTTCCTTCTTGGCCACCGTCTTCTCAGGAGCCGCTTCCCTCCCCTTCCGGTCCCCTCAGCATCCCCGAGAGGGAGAGGTCAGGGCGACCTGCCGCGGGGGATGTCGGGAGCCGCTCACGCATGCGCACAGACGCCTGGTCCCCACGACCCGTGAGCTCCCTGGTCAGGGGCCAGGCAGTGTCCACCTAGTGCTGCGGAGAGTCTGCGTTACAGGCAGGGGTGGGCAGGTTAGCACAAGAGGCCTTTGAAAAATCAGGTGGTCGGTCCTGAGATTGGTGATGGCCTGGAGTTCTGGCTTCCAGATCCGGGGAGTGGCCTTCCAGGAGTGAGTGTCCAGCAGCACGAGTGATGCAGTGGCAGGAGCACACTGCTGCACACTGCTCTGGTCAGTATTTATGGAGGATCTGACACTAGGATCTGCCACGTTTTCATTGGCAACACCCCACAACCTGCTTACAGGAGCTTCTTCCGGGTGCTCTTTGGATCCATGATGTAAATGCCCACTTTTTTCTGTAGATGCACTGTTCCCCTGGACGTCATGTTTGGTGTCATCTAAGTGGGTTCCTTCTGCACAGAATTTGACAACATTTTCCTGCTTCCTTTGAAGGAAATCAGGGTCTCCAAGCATTGTGAGTTTCCCTTTAAGTTACCATAAAAGCCCGCAAGATTGCGCTCCTGTCCTCTGGGTATCATGGGAAAAGCTGCAATACATTTCTAAATAACCCATTTGTCAAAGTGGAATCACAATAAAAATGACAAAGTGCTTTAAAATAAAGGAGAATAAAAATAGACATTAAACCTTGGGCGATTCAGCTATAGCAGTGCTCACAGGGAAATTTCTAGTGCATGTATAAGAAGAAAAGAAAATCTGGAATTTTATTATAAAGGCATCTATCTAAAAAGTAGAATAAAAACAGCAACTTTAACTGAAAGAATATAAAAGGAAGAAAATGTATTATGAAACTAATGAAACTCATTTGCTTTTTCTTATGAATGTTTATGTTGCCTTTTGGTGTCAGAGTAGTAGGTGAAATTCATTTTAAAATTTGTAAGAACTGGACCACCCAATCATCAAGGCTTCATCTGCCAAGTGAATCTTCAGAGGAACTGAAAGGTAAGTGAATTTTATATAAAATTTCCACTTTCAGGCACAGGTCACAAAATTAAATGTTTTTCACGATACCAAGCATATCTTTTACAAACAGAATTAAGATGAAAATGATCTTTTCATGGATCCAGTGGTAGCTGCAGCCTGTTGGTGATGTAGTTCCATTAAAAAAACAAGTCAATTCAGAGAGGAAGAGTTTGCTGAGGATGCAAACAGATTTGGTTTCCTTTAGAACTTGACAATCTGTGTACCGGCTCAGGGAGTTTTATGTGAGTGGAGTCATATTGTCACTGTGTGTTTGCATGGAGAGTGGTTAGTTAAAACAGCCTATAGCCAGGATTTCCAAACCACAGCATCAGAACAGGGTGTACAGGACAAAACATTCCAGGATGAGCTTATCTACCTTGCCTGTTTTGTTCTAGAAGATTAAGTCACATATCAAGTAACGTCTGAGCAGAAGCTAAAAATGTCTGATGTGTGTTAAATATTATGCAATTATCCATTTCTGCCAGGAAAAAAGGAAGGGTTTATTTGTTCTAAGTGTCAATTTTTAATGATGACTTGCAGAGCACTTGGGAATGGGGACCCTACAAATATTCACCCTTTATCTTTACTAGTGGGAAAGTTGTGTCAAGTATAGACTTCTTCTATTAGAAATTGCCTCATCTCAAAATAAAGATTGGATTTGCTTGGGAGAAAAAAGAAATAAAATTGATGAAATTGTAATCAGTACAATATATGTGGTAAATAGCTAGCAGAACTCATTAAGGAAAAAAAGAAAGAGAAAATAAAAACTATCAACATCAAGTTCCACAGATATGAAAAGAGGATATTATGTTTACTTTATCACAATTAATTTGAAAAATTAGGTGAAATGTGTAAGCTGATACGGGAGAAAATAGAAAATATGTATTGTCAGTTTTTCATTAAAGAAATTAAACCTGGGCCTCACCTGGTGGCGCAGCGGTTGAGCGCTGGGCTGCGAAGCTGCCTGCAGCCTCTGCAGCTCCGGTTTGATTCCCGGCCACCGGCGAGGGTCCCACATGGCGCACAGACCTCTCCTGCCGCACGCTGCTCCCCTCAGCAGTGTACTTCAGTCCTTCTGCCTGTTCTGCTCCCCACTCTGGCTCTGGTGAATTCTCTCACCCTCCTGAGCTTCTGACTGTACCCAGTACTTGTATAAATAAATAAATAAATCTTTAAAAAAAATAAAAATAAAAGCTGATTTAAAAAAAAAAATTAAACCTGTAGTAAAACAGGACCAACAGATATCTCCCCACTGATGTGGTTAATTAGGGCTTCTGCTACCACCTGTGCTGTTTCTCTAGCGGCAGGAAAGGCCTCCACCCACCCAGAGATAGTGTCTACCATGATAAGAAGATACTTGATTTTTTTGTGAGAGGGCATGTGGGTGAAGTTGACCTGCCAATCTTGTCCTGGGAGATGTCCTCTCATTTGGTGACTTACGAAGGAAGAAAGATGTATTCCCCATTGTGGGGATACTTTGGAGCATGTTGGACAGCGGGAGCAGGTCTCCCAGATGATCTTAGCCAGTGAAGGGTGAAAGAACAAAGGCTTAAGAAAGTGGACCAGTGAGCGCGGCCCAATGTGCAGCGTCTTGTGAACCTTTTGGATAATGTCAGAGGCTTGCTACTCAGGGAGAGCCAATTTGTTGTTGTTGATCTCCATCGGTACCACCCTTGGAAAGAAGATTTGTCTGTTCATTAGGCTTATAAAGGGGTGAAATCGAAGGTAAAGAGTAAAGAGAGAAATAGTACAGGTGCGACAGAAGGCTGACCAGGGTTCGTCAGAGCCTTGGCTGTTTTATCTGCTTTGATGTTTCCTCGTGTCACCTCCAAGGAGTCCAATTAGTGTCCCATGCAGTAAACTATGGCCACCTCAGCTGGCAGCTGAAGGTCCTCTCATAATTTGAGAATAAGTTTAGCGTTAATGATAGGAGATCCTTTGGTGGAGAGAAAGCCGTGTTTCTGCCAGATTGCCGCATGGCTATGAGCAATGAGAAAAGCATATTTAGAGTAAGCTCAGGTTGGCCCTCACCAGGCCCCAGGCCCTCTGCACCAACCTTATGGGTTAGCACATTGTCTAACCCATAGCAGGACTTGAACGACATCTTCTGACCATTTAATGAATAACCTTATAATAGTTTCCAAAGAGAAATATATTAAATGTCAAAGCCAGACTTCTTTTCAAAAACCTTATGTCATGTTTTCCTTTCAACATTACTGTAATGAATCAGTTCAATGATCTTATGATCTAAAGAAATCTCTACATGATGTCTTTTTTTCTTTGCATATACATTATTTTATCTCCTTTCCTGAGTAATTCAGGTGTCATGCTGCTAGTTCTAGGAAGAAGTATAACTTCTAAGCAGAGCTGGTCCCGGGAAAATTGCTAAGGAACAAAGATTCCATCTTGCCTGTCTCAAATGATCCTCTATCCTAGCCAAGTCCTCCTATAAAAACCCAGGATTCCCCCTTCCTCCTCTATAGGGAATGTTCAGCCATTATGATCTCAGGTAACTATTTATACCTCAGTGAGAATATGTTAATATATGAAGGTATATTACTACTTCCACTGAATTTATCTTGATTCTAGTGGAAAAGTGGAAAGCTGTAATTCTAAGATAATTTATACTAATGGATGTGTATTTTTGAAAAGAATTCTCCCCACCCGTCTGAAACCACTAAAGATAAAACTTACGTAACCATTGTTACGAGATGCCTGTTATTTGTTTTTAGTGGTCACCCTTGGTGATTTCAAATATGAGATGGTGGTATTTAAAAAGTAAGGAACTGAGAAAGCATGTTGCCTTATGGCCCAACAATTCCATTCTTAGGTATCTCTCCAAAGAATACAAAAACATTCATTTGAAGGGAAAAATGTACTCTCATGTTTATTGCAACACTATTTATAATAGCCAAGCTAAATCTAGGAGCCCAAATACAGAAGATTGCATTAGAAAGATGTAGTATATACACATGATGGAGTACTACTCAGCTGTCAAAAAGGATAAACTCTTGCCATTTGTGGCAATGTGGATGCAGTTGGAGGAGATTATGCTAAGCAAAATAAGTAGCAGGAAAGACAAATACTGGGTGGTATTACTTATATGTGGAATATGGAGAAGCCAAACAAAGGTCAGATAAAGCAAAACTAACAACAAACCCTAGAAATCTGACTATATAACTGAGGATATGGAGGAAGAGGGGAAGGAGGAGCTGAAAGACGAAGTAAGAAGGGAACACAACGGACTATGGGAAAGGACTGTAGGTGCTTTGGTGGTGGATGCGCAGAGATCCTATACCTGAAGGGGGAGATCCTATACCTGAAGGGGGAGATCCTATACCTCTAAAACACAAAAGAATATAAACCAATGTTACGTCAGTAAAAAAAAAAATACTCAAAGAATGTTATATTTTTATCATCTTAGGAAATCATAATAGTAATTAATTAGTTGGTACTGTTTATTTTATTGTCTTATAAAAATGTAACTGAAGTTTACCTTTTCAAATATACTAAGCAGTGCCTTGTTTTTAAAACTGTAAATGAAGTATCTTTGGAAAGAAAAATTTCCATTAAGTTTCAAAGAACTCTGATTTTCTAAAGCATCTTCTTAGTGGCCCATAAGGAAATTATTTTCCATAATACTAGGTTAAAAGAAGTCTATGAAGTGGACCAATTCTAGGAGAACTTGTACTTTCCTTGGAAAATTAGAGTTATATTTGGGGTATTTGCTGCAGTAATGTACAACAATTTTTTTTTTTTTAATGTAATGAAACAAGCAAGCAAAGTGAAATGATTTGACCTGGTACATCAGTGTTAGGGCAGCACAGAGCTAGACAAGGACTTGGAATAACACTTAGCTTCTGAGACAAACTGTTGCTTCTCTTGCAAGTAGAGAGTGAGGTGATTGTATTCTACAACTAATGGTCTACATTTGTGCTTTCTATCTAATACAGAGACATGTTCAAGAGTAACAGTGATCTCTGGCCAATGTGGTTGACCATTTATGCTTGGAAAATTATTTCATTTTATGCACAGAATGCAGTAACATTGTGAAAGCCAAAAAGTATTATTTGCAATATGTGGTTTGATCTCCATATTTTAATCATTTTTCAAATCTTAGTTTTTTTCTCAGTGTGAAAATTTTTCAGTTTGCTATGCACACAGATTCCTCTAAAAGTTGAACATAATTTTAGACCTTAAGAATTCCAACATAATGGAAATAAATTAGGTATCTTCAACACATTTGAGAAACCTAATTAAATTTATGTCTAAATTGGCATGGTATTTTGACGTATTTCTCTTCCTTGATTGAAATAAAACTATTTTCTACCAATGTTCCTCCTAGACCCCACAAAAAAATGGGGGAATGGAAGCAGCATATTTGTACAATAACTTTGTAGGTCTTGACTGTATAGTGCTTTATCATTAGTGGATTTCTTAAAATATAATAATAATGAAGTCTTGGTTATTTGTTAGGATATAAGAAACTTCAGCAAAACATTTACTATTACTTGAAAGTAAATACTGCATTAGAATTCAACTAGGTCCCTTCTTCTCCTGAAAACCACACCACCACTAATGCTAATAGCCAACATAACATCACCTTCACTTCTGTGGAACCTGAAAGCAGAATATCCTTTATATTACCTTTGTTATGTTTTGGGTCCTTGAAAATTACCAGATTTTCCTTTTTGGTAGGATTATTGCACGCGGACTCCTCAGCAAATAGTATATTTCTTTAAATGCCTCTCTAAATTTAAAACATATAATCTCCTTTAAAACATATAATCTCCTTTAAAAAAAGGCACAAATACCATTCCAAAAGGAAGACCTTAAACTTTTTTAACTTGATGAAACTTACAATATTCAAATTTTTAAACTGAAAATGTTTAATTTCCATAACATGTGTGAAAGCTATGAAAAGTATAAACTTATCACTGCAAACTTATCACTCCACTGGTTTTGCCATAGAAGGTGGA